TGCCATCGAGTCAGTACCGACCCATAGCGACCTTATGCATAGCAGAATGAAATACTGCCCGATCCTGGGCCAACCTCAGTATTGTTGCCACACTTGAGAGCGGGGAGACCAGCGCTCCACGGGGATCGTGGGACACGAGAGTAGACCCTGAGTCGGCGGGAATGAATGAATGAATGAATGCAATCGAAAAGCTTTCTCAGTCAGTCTGCTGTGCTGTCCATGCTGTCCATGCTGTCCATGCTGTCCATGGTGTCCATGCTGTCCATGCTGTCCATGCTGTCCATGGTGTCCATGCTGTCCATGGTGTCCATGCTGTCCATGGTGTCCATGCTGTCCATGGTGTCCATGCTGTCCATGCTGTTCATGCTGTCCAGCTGTCCATGCTGTCCATGCTGTCCATGCTGTCCAGATTCTTGTTCTTTGACTCTGCCATCTGCTGCTTCTTCCTGCTTCTGTTCCTACTCCTGCTCTCTGCCTGCCCAGCTCAGCAAGTCTTTATTTTTATACTTAAAATTACACAGTGCATGCATTGACACTTTTATCTTTTCTTGAATTATTACACAGTTAGTCACAACATTCTTGCACCTGGTCATTAGACAACCTTGACAAAAATATTTCTGTGATGTTCAGACTGACCTTCATCTCCTTTCCCAGTATGTGAATAAACTGTTCCTTCTTGTTTCCACTAAAAGATTATTAACTTTCTATCCTACATAATGTACTATTATTTTCATAGTAAAGGTATTCATTAAATTACTTGGAAGCTATGTGGAATAAAGCCCAACCTGGCTACTTGCTGCAAGTGTAGATTATCAAGTCAAAACTATCCTTCACTTAAGTTCATTATTGTCTGCTTATTTACACAGGTGCTTGTGTGTAGGGGGTTGTGAATTCTAGCTAGTGACTGATTGTGGTGAGGTCTATGGGGGTAGGTCAGCTTGACTTTAATTTGCTATCTGCTTTTGTGGTCTCACAAATGCAGTCACTTACATTTTCTATGAAAGGGAGTAATTATACAATTCTTTTTGTATTCAGTCCACCGAAGCTAAAAGCAATTGTTGCTAAGCCAGTTTTTCCTAAGGTTTATAGAACTCATAGTGAAAGGCTGTGAATATGGCCATATTATATATTTTTACAAGTAAATTTAGGATTACTCTAAAGAGAAGGTAGAAAGCAACTTCTGAGAGCCATCTGTCTTGCAAGATGACCTTTCTATTTGCCGGAACTGTGTCAAGCGGCAAAAGTGAAGCTGTTCTCTACCCTCAACCGCTCCCAGCACTTGAGTCCATCGATGCTGCCACTTGGCCAATCCATCTCGTTGGGGGTCTTCCTCTTTTACTCTGACCCTCCACCTTACCAAACATGATATCCTTCTCCAGCGACTACTCCCTCCTGACAATATGTCCAAAGTATGAGAGACGAAGTTAGGTCATCTTACCTCTAAGGAGCACTCTGGCTGTACTTCTTCCAAAGTAAATCTATTGGCTATTTTGGCAGCCCATGGAACTTTCAGTACCATAACTCAAAGGCATCAATTCTTCTATGGTCTTCCTTATTCATTGTCCAGCTTTCACATCCATATGAGATTATTGAAAATACCATGGCTTGGGTCAGGTGCCCCTTAGTCCTCAAGCTGATATCTTTGTTCTTCAACACTTTAAAAAGGTCTTTTGCAGAAGATTTGCTTAATGCAATATGTCATCTGATCTCTTGACTGCTGCTCCTGTGAGTGTTGATAGTTGATCCAAAAAGAATGAAGTCCTTGACAACTTCAATCTTTTCTCCATTGATAAGGACATTGCTTATTGGTCCAGTGGTGAGGATTTTTGTTTTTTTTATATTAAGACGTAATCCATACCAAAGGCTGTACTCTTTGATTTTCATCAGTAAATGTTTTAAGTCCTCTTCACTTTCAGCAAGCAAGGTTGTATCATCTGGATATCACAGGTTGTTAATGAGTCTTCCTCCAATCCTGATGCCACGTTTATCTTCATAGAACACAGTTTCTTGGATTATTTGCTCAGCATACATGTTAAATAAGTATGGTGAAAGAATACAACCTTGTCACACACCTTTCTTAATTCTAAAACATTCAGTGTTCCCATGTTCTGTCAGAACAACTGCTTCTTGGTCCAGGTACAGATTCCTCATGAGCACAATTAAGTGTTCTGGAATACTCATATTTCACAATGTTGCCCATAGTTTGACATGATCCACACAATCGAAAGCCTTTGCATAGTCAATAAAGCACAGGTAAACATCTTTCTGATATTCTCTGCTTTCAGCCAAGATCTATCGGACATCAGCAATAATATCTTTCGTTCCATGGCCTCTTCTGAATCCTGCTTGAACCTCTGGAAGTTCTCTGTCAATGTATGATTGTAGCCGTTTCTGTATTACCTTTAGCAAAACTTTACTCATTTGAGATATCAGAGAGATTGTCTGATGATTTCCGCATTCTGTTGGGTCACCTCTCTCTGACATGGGCATAAACATGGATCTCTTCCAATCAGTTGGCCAGATAGCTGTCTTCCAAATTTCTTGGCAGAGATGAGTGAGTGCCTCCTTTGTCACCTCACTTTCTTGAAAGATTTCAATTTTTATTCCATCAATTTCTGGTGCCTTGTTCTTTGCCAATTCCTTCAATGCACCTTGGACTTCCTCCCTGAGTATCATTGGCTCTTGATCATATGCTACCTCTTAAAATGGTTCAACATTAACCATTTCCTTTTGGTACAGTGATTTTGTGTATTCTTTCCATCTTCTCTTGATGCTTTCTGCATCATTCAGTATTTTCCCAGAGAATCTTTCAATAACAAAAGTCAAGGCACATGGTAGATGCTCCAAAGTATGACCTTACCATAGCCCTGGCTGTCATAACCCCCATACAATTAGTCCTTATAACACAATGAAAGTGGGAAATGGCTATACAGTCAGCACTTACAACAGATAACCACAACTTTGCCCAGTTTGGATAGCATGAATCTATAAAAAAATGATGACATGGGGTTGACATTGTGACAAACTATTGTTTCCATGGAAGAAGAAAAGATGGCTTCTTAAGTACATTAAGACCCAGCATCTAAGCTTTCCCACAAGAAATACTTACAGTAGAAAAAGAAGCTGCAAAACAATTGTTATCATAATCAACTTGTTCGCATCTGCTGAGACGAATCCAGTTCTCCTGCAGGTTGATGAAGAGGATGATCATTCCTATTCCTGCAGCTATGCTGCTGACAGTGTTTGCTCCCAGTCTTCCTTGCGCCTGGTAGAAGGGAAAATCACTGAGACCTATCCCTGCACTTGCCCGATTAAACAACTCTTATTTCATGACCAGGCACACCCATTCAAACTTACATTGCTTGGAGATATTAGTTAAAAACACTTTTTTTTACTATTTTTTCTACTTTTTTTATAAATTGGTTAAAGTTTTATGGAGTTGTCATTAGTCTTCATTCAAGAATTCATACACATTTTGTTTCATGTCATTGATTGCAACCCCCACAATGTAACATCACTTATCCCACATCTTCCCTGTGTTTCCTGTTTCCGTTCCTCCTTCTTTCCTAACTCTTCTGAACTTTATCCTTGGGTAAATGCTGCCTTTTTGATAACAAGTGGTTGGTTATTATAAGTTGTCTCTACCTCACTAGGGAGGAAGAGGAATAAGTGATGTTACACTGTGGTGATTGAAGTCAATTAGATGAAACAAAATGCATGAACTGTTGAACGGAAAACTGATTTGTTCTGTAAACCTTCACCCAATTCACAATAAAAATTTTTGAAAAAAAATTACTGATCATTTTTGCCAAGTACAAAACCATTCCAGAATCCAATAAAATTGAAATGGCCATTTGTGCTAAGTACAAACTTTGACAGAATAACAAATCAAATAAACTTATTTCCATTAAACCAATCTGACTTCTAGTGACCCTATAGTAGAACTGCTCATAGGATTTCCAAGGTCAAAATTTTTATGGAAACCTTTTGTACACCTGTGAAGTGTCTAGTGGTTTAAGTCACTGACCCTTCAGAGTAATTATTCACTGAACCACAAGTCCTCCCTCCCTTCCACTGTAGACAAGCCTAAGATACAATAAAAGACATAACCTCTCTACTGGAAATCCTCAGATTGCCTTTAAACTCCTGTGCTTGTGTTGCTTGAATGACCAATTTGCTAATTTCTGCTTAGACTACAGCCCCTTCTATCATCAACCCCCATATGACCAGTCCCTATATGTGAAAAGTTTAGTTAAGCCAAAAGATTATTTTCTTGATGGGCTGCATCAAGTACTGCATGGCTACACATGATCGTTCCTTAAATTGTCTTCCTGATTTATTCAAGTGATCATGTACACCAAAGGACAAGGCAGATGTAAGAATGACATTCCTTAACTGTAATAATAGCAGGCTAGTTATCAAGGCGGTGGAACTTTATTGTTTTTTTAGTAATTGTATAGAATTTCTGTTTTTACTGATTATATTCCATTTCTGTGGCAAAGACCTTCTGACACAGAATGTTTCTAAGTGCCATCAAGTCTATTATAATTCATAGCAACTCTATGGTGGTGTCATGGGTTAGCTAATGTTTCTTCTAGACTTAATCTGTAAGCAAGTCAAATTAAGCTCAGATCTCTCAGCAGAAACCATGCAAGCAAGAAGGCAATGGGGAGACATATATAAAACCCTGAAAGAAAAAAATTGCCAACCAAGAATCCTTTATCCAGCAAAGCTATCAATCAAATATGATGGTGTAATGAAAGCATTCCAGGATACACAGAAGCTAAGGGATTTTGCCAAAGCTAACCCTATGCTACAAAACATCCTAAAGGGAGTTCTGTGGACTGAGAACCAACAAGAACAGACAACCACCAGAGATTGACATACGTGGCAGCACCTCCCAGAATTAAGTCGACAGAAGGAAGAGTCGAGAACAGAACAAAGCTATAAGAACAAGCTCAGAGAATCTGGGAGGTCAATTGATGATCAAAACAAGTACAGTGCAAAAGAAGGTAAACAATGTAGGAACAGAGATCCAGATGGTGAGAAGGGCAAGTAGATTACAGGTTAAAATAGACCGCATTAAACGGACAGAAAAGTTAATGGACTGTAAGGCAACCTCAAAGAAAATTAACACTTCACAATATACCAAGAGAATGAAAATCCAAGAAGAACATGGAAACATTAAAACTACGAGGAAACTCACAAGAAAGAACACAAAAAGCATGAACTCAACAAAGGAAGACACACAGAACAAAGAAAGCAGCAACACCACAAAAACAAAAAACAAAACATAAAAACCTTAATAGACTTAATCTGTAACTCCCACCAAACACCTTTTGTGTTTAGGTAAGACAAGGTGGGCAAAGATTAATGATAAGATGACATGATACAGTTGTGGGTGTTAGTTCCCTTTAACTAATTATAAAAACTTAAAACTCTAACATGGGTATACTAGGAACCCTCTCAGAAGCAGGAGCAGGTAATCTCACTACCACCAAAGAAGAAAAGTCAGGAGAGGATTGCTATCATTGGACCCCAAGATCCCTGCACACTGAACCTACCTGACACAGGCACAGAAATCTGACACCAGAGGAGTGGCAGAGGAACATCAGAACCAAGAATCAGAGTATGAGACAAAGCAAAGGACTTCCTAGCCCATGGAGTATGTAAAATTGTGTGACTTTAGGCATAGTGGGGTGCCTCCAGGCATTTGACTTGGGGAGCTAGAGTTTGCTGACTCACAGAGCTACAGTCAAGAGCCTTCAGGAGGGCATTTAGCAGCAGCTGACTGGAACAAGTATGTTCTGAACATTTTCTGGTCCTCTATTAATATATATATAATCTGGTGTGGTGCTGTGGGTTAATGCACCAGATTGCAAAGCCATTTGAACTGCAAGGTCGGTGATTCAAGCTCACCAGGTGCTCCTCGGAAACCCTATCCAGGGTTGCTATGGGTCAGAATTGACTCCATGGCATTTAACAACAACATTATAACCTGTTAACTTCCCTAATAAAACCCATAACTGTGAGTATTGTCTCTGAATTCTGTGCAACCATTGCAATGGATTATCAAACCTAGGTAAATTGAGGGAGGATGGATTGGTGCCACATATGAATTTTTGCACCTATGTACAAAAGAATGAAATATTGCCCTTCCTACTGATAAGTTTGAGCATAGCCTTGCAGCTACTGTGTCAAATTGCTAAAAGAAAAACATCATAAATCCACATATCCTACCTGCCATTGCTGTGGAATGAATTCCATCTCATAGCAACCTGACCCCAAAGTGTTGTCAAGGCTTAAAATTTTTATTGGAGCAGGTTGTCACATCTTTCTCCAATGGAGAGCCTGGTGGATTTTAACTACCAACCTTTAGGTTGGCAGCTGTTTGCTTTAACCACTGTGCCACCAGGATTCATTCCCCTATCCACAGTCACCAGTAACCTAGGAAATGACACTAGGAAAATTCCCAAAACTCCATTTATCTTACCTTCTCAATGATTGACAAAGAATTATAACTCACCAGATATGTTGCATTTTTCCTTTCACATATAATTGACAAAAATCCAGAAATAGCAAACTGTTCAAAAGAGGGAGATAAAGGAGTCACAGTGAGTCTCTGTTCTTCTCTATACCCACTTCACCCCAATCCTTTAAAAACTAGGTAAATTTGGTGTCCTCTATAAAGCTACATCTGGTAGTATCGGTGGTTATGAGTCGGGCAGCTAACCTCAAGGTCAGCTGTTCAAAACTACCAGCAGTTCTGTGGGAGAAAGAAGATTTCTACTCCCATAAAGATTTAAAGCCTCGGAAACCCTATGCAAGGTCACCATGAGTCAGAATTGACTGCACAGAACATAACCACCACCACCATAAAGCTATCTACTACTATTTACAAGTAAACCAGTATTTCCTTATTCTTATTTCTGAGAGAATGCTTCTCAAAATTAGTATGTATACAAATAGCCTGAAGGTTTTGTTAAAATGCAGATGGCACTGTAAGATAAACACTTGACCATAAGGTCAGTTTAAACTAAAATGTTGGCAGTTCAAACTCACCAGCCACTCCTCAGAAACCTTATATAGTGTTACTATGAGTCAGGACCAACTTTTTTTGTCCAGTGGTGAAGATTTTTGTTTTCCTTACATTGAGGTGAAATCCATACTGAAGGCTACGTAATGTTTCATCTCCCTCAGTAAGTATTTTAAGTCCTCTTCATTTTTATCAAGCAAGGTTTTATCATCTGCATATGGCAGGTTGTTAATGAGTCTTCCTTCAAACCTGATCCCATATTTTTCTTCATACAATCCACCTTCTCTGATTATTTGCTCAACATACAAACTAAGTAAGTATGGTAAAAGAATATAACCCAGATGCACACTTTCCTGATTTTAAACCATTTGATGTTCCCTTTCTATGTTCGAACAACTGCCTCTTAGTCTATATACAGGTTCTTCATGAGCACAACTATGTGTTGTCCATAGTTTGTCATGATCTACACAGTTGAAAACCTTTGCATAATCAATAAACCACAGGTAAACAACTTTCTGGTAGTATCTGCTTTCAGCCCAAATCTATCTGACATCAACAATGTTATCCCTAGCTCTACCTCCTGGTCTGAATCCAGCTTGAATTTCGGGCTGTTCTTTGTTGATATGCTGTTGCAATAATGTTTTAATCCTATTAAGCAAAATTTTACTTTCACATGATATTAATGATAATGTTCAATGATTTCTACATTCTATTGGGTCACCACTCTTTGAAATGGGCACAAATATGAATCTGTTCTAACTGGTTGGCCAGTTAGTGCTCTTCCAAATGTCTTGGCATAGATGAGGAAATGCATCCAGTGCTGCCTCAATTTGTTGAAATTTTTCTATTTATATACTATCATTTCCTGGAGTCTCGTTTGTCACCAATGCCTTCCTTGGTGACTTGGATTTCTTTCAGTGCCATTGGTTCTTGATATCATGCTACCTCATGAAATGGTTGAACATCCACCATTTCTTTTGGATACAGTGGTTCTATATTCCTTCCACATGTATGCATATGTTAAACTTATTAAATCACATTTATATGTCAAATTTATCAAATAACATGTTTTAAATACATGTAAATCATTGTCTGTCAATTTTGTCTTAATAAAACCATGTGTTTGTAATCTTATTCAGCTATCTACTTTCCAGACAGTGCAATGATTAAAAGATATATCATGAAAAAGAGTTACTAGGACATAATAGAAGGTCACTAAATACCTGCTTACCTTGTACTCTTTGCCTCAGTAATTTCCTTCTCCTTCCTTCAGTAAGATAAGTATTAGAGCTACTGATTAATATTATTAGTGACATTGTCTTAGAATTGGATTCAGAAATTCTAAGAATAAATTTCTATTAAACCTATATATGTCTCTTGGACAATTTAATTTGTTTTAGCCTCAGTTTTCTCATCTGACAAAAGCATGATAGTTTATTTAATCCACAGTAACCTATTAGTAAGGATATATGTGTGTGTGTGTGTGTGTGTGTGTGTGTGTTTTGTTAAGTGGTATCAAGTAAGTTTGCACTCATAGAGACCCTGTATAGGGTTTCCAAGGAGTGGCTGGAGGGTTTGAATTGCCAACCTTGCAGTTCAAACAGACTTTGTGGGTCAGTGCTTTACCCTATATATCACACTAGGACTACATACATATATATTGATGTTGTGTGCTACAGAGGCAATTCTGATTCACAGAGACTATACGGCAGAAGAAAACTACTCCATAGGATATCTTGGGCTATAATACTTATGAGAATATATTATCAGGTACTTCTGTCCAGCAGGGTTGGTGGTGGATTCAAACTGCCAAACTTTTGGTTAGTAGCTGAGTACTTAACCATTATGAAACCACCAGGGAGCACTCTTTATCTCATAGTTGTTATTGTTAAGTGCTGTCAAGTTGGTTCAACTCATAGTGACCCTGTATAGGGTTATAGGGTTTCCAAGGAGCATCTGGTGAGCTTGAACCTCCAGCCTTAGAATATATATATATATAGAGAGAGAGAGAGAGAGAGTCCTGATGTGACATTGTAGGATAAAGCACTGGACTGCAAGGTCAATTTGAACCACAAGGTCAGTAGTTCAAACTCTTGAGTTGCCCCTCAGAAATCCTATACAGGATATTATGAGTCTGGACAGCACTTAATAGCAACAGTAACAATGTCATCATTGTTGTTAGGTGCCTTGGATTCAGTATCAACTCATAGCAACCTTACGCACAACAAAAGGAAACACTGCCTGATCCTGCGCCAAGCTCACAATTGTTGCCACACTTAATCCCATTGCTGCTGCCACTGTGCCAATCCATCTCATTTAGGGACTTCCTCTTTTTCACTGACCCTCCACTTTACCAAGAATGATATATCTGTTTACTTATATGTATGTGTGTGTGTTATCTTAATACTGCTGATGACTCATTGGTTAGAGCTGGGTAAGATAAAAGCTGTATACAGTTTTATTTTAGAAACAATTTGCAATATATACTTACAAATACTGCTCCCCAGAATGGGTAGCCTGTTTTAAATGATGAAAAAATGTCAGGTTTTCGCTCCACGTTTGAAATATCAAACACTGAGTAAACAGTGGTTCCAAAGGTAAAGCAAATCAAACCAATCAGAATTTGTGCTACCTGTAGAAAAATACAGAGGTTTGGTGAAATAAGAAGATATTTTCCCAAGAGTGCATCAATTTCCTTTCAAATGAGACCAAATATAAGAAACTAAGGATCCAACAGGGAGATTTTACAGCATCCCCTCACCGTTAAAAGAATTAATACAGACACTACCTAGTGTGCAGATGATCAATACATTTATTTACATTGTCTAGATGGGTAGTGACAGTTTTGAAATAAAACCAAATGGCCACCACTCATCTGTCTGTCATGCTGTGGTGGCTTGTGTGAGTTGCTGTGATTCTGAGGGCTATGCCACTGGTATTTTAAATAACCCACAGGGTCACCCATGGTGGACAGGTTTCAGATGAGCTTCCAGACAAAGACAGACTAGGAAGAAAGAGTGACAAACTACTTCCGAATCTTTAGTCACTGAAAACTTTATGATTAGCAGAGAAACACTGTCAGATACAGTGCCAGAAAATGAACTCCTCAGGTTGGAAGGCACTCAAAATGTGACTTGGGAAGAGATGTTTCCACAAAGTACAGTTGATGCCAATGGAGTTAAGCTTGTGGGAGAAAAGCCCACAGAACCTTCTTTTGCTGATGGGGCACAACTCAAAATGAAGAGAAACAGCTGTAAACATGCACTGAAAATAAGAACATGAAATGTACGAAATATGAATCTGGGAAAATTGAAAGTTGTCAAAAATGAAATGGAATCCACAAACATTGATATCTTACGCACTAGTGAGCTGAAATGGACTGGTATTGGCCATTATGAATCTGACAACCACATGGTTTACTATGCAGGAAATGACAAATTGAAAAGGAGTGGTGTTTCATTCACTATCAAAAAGAACAGATCCAGATCAATCATGAGGTACAACACTGTCTGTGATAGGATAATATCCACGCGCCTACAGGGAAGCCCAGTTAAAACTACTTTTATTCAAATTTATGCACCAACCACTAAAGCCAGTGAAGATGAAATAGAAGAATTCTACCAACTTCTTCAATCTGAGATTGATCAAACATGCAATCAAGATGTATTGCTCATTATTGGTGATTGGAATGCAAAGGTCAGAAGCAAAGAAGGACCAGTAGTTGGAAAATATGGCCTTGGTGATAGAAATGATGCTGGAGAACGAATGATAGAATTCTGCAAAACCAATGATTTGTTCATTTCAAATACTTTCTTTAGACAGCATAAAAGACGACTATACACATGGAGCTCACCAGATAGAATACATAGAAATCAAATTGACTACATCTGTGGAAAGAGAAGATGGAAAAGCTCCATATCATCAGTGAAAACAAGGTCAGGGACATACTGTGGAACAGACCATCAATTATTCATACGCAAATTCAAACTGAAACTGAAGAAAATGAAAACAAGTCCACAAGAGCCAAAATATGACCTTGAATATATCCCTCCCTGAACTTAGAGATCATCTGAAGAACAGATTTGATACATTAAACACTAAAGACTGAAGACTAGAAGAGTTGTGGGATGACATCAAGAACATCAGACATGAAGAAAGCATTAAGTCATTAAGAAGACAAGAAAGAAGGAAAAGTTCAAAATGGATGTCAGAAGAGACACTGAAACTTGCTCTCCAGTGTAGAGATGCTAAAACAAATAGAAGAAATGAGGAGGTCCAAGAGGCGAACAGAAAATTTCAAAGATCAGCTCGAGAAGATAAAGCCAGATATTATAATAAAATGTGCAAAGATCTGGAATCAGAAAACCAAAAAGGAAGAACATGTTCAGCATTTCTCAAGCTGTGGGAACTGAGGGAAAAATTCAAGGCTCGACTTTCATTATTGAGATTCCTTGGGAAAATTATTGAATGATGCAGAATGCATCAAGAGAAGATGGAAGGAGCACACAGAATCACTGTACCAAAAGGAAGTGGTTAATGTTCAACCGTTTCAAGAGATAGCATATGATCAAGAGCCAATGATACTCAGGGAGGAAGCCCAAGGTGCATTGAAGGAATTGGCAAAGAACAAGGCACCAGGAATTGATGGAATAAAAATTGAAATCTTTCAAGAAAGTGAGGCAGCCCAGGAGGCACTCACTCATCTCTG